ACGAAAAAACATGACTCATGCGGCGTTACCTCGCTCTGAGGCGTCCCATTTAATACTTGAAGTGCAAGCGAGAGCGCGCAACGAGCGACAAAGAGTCACAATTGGCCTCCACATTCGGCAGCGTTCAACATATTTCTCTCTCCTACTCGAGTGAGCGATGCGTCCGCGTGGACAGCTACTATACAATAATATGTTAACATGTTTTTGTCAAGTATGAAGTGCAGTGAAAAGTGAATGTGGTGTCAATTGTTTATAGCAATGATAATTGCGGCGATAAAGGTAATGATATCACACATGTTTAAAAGTTGTAAATAAAAGTTGTAAAACAATTGCTCAAAGCACATTCATACTTGTAAAAACTATGTACATTGTAAAAAAACGTTGTCACGTTCAACTATCGTCAGTAAACCTTTACATACAAACGATTATATTTTCTATATTTTCGCTATGATGTTATAAGATTTCGCTTTCCTATAGTTTATTAAAAAAGATTGAATCGTTTTAACTTATACTGTATACCATACCATATTTTTGTAATTAACATCGCTTCAGCTTGCGTGTAGCAGAGATTACCATAAAGGCCATTACACAAAAGGAAAAGGTACGATCGATAGTGTTTAATAGTGAGCAAGCTTTTTCTTGCGTTACGGCGCCTTTATTTATACTTTTACTAGCTTCTGCACGCTACTTTGTCCGTTTTGACTATCGATACTTGCAGCACCAAGGGTACTTTGCTACTCATGCTTTGCCGGCTCTGAAGGAAAAGGTTTACCCGTTGTAATTTTTCTAAGAACATTGTATATAGTCTTAGATTTGTTTTTACAGAAAATGAATGACATCAGTAAAGTCTTATACAAATTATCGAGTACTAATGGAATAGGGATTAACTTACATACATTTTCATATACTGATATGTAGAGAATTAAATAATATATTGGTTATAATTTTCATTTTTTAAGCATGTAATTGCTTGATGTTTAAATCTAAAGAAAATATAACTAGAAAATATTCCACGCGGACCAGGCAGCAGACGGGACTCGAACCCGCACGCTTCGCTATTCTGGCGCATGCACTGACCAAAACATTATAACAGTATAATTTATATTTCTTCTTTCAAATGTTTTATACTTGTAAAAGTATTCATTTGACATTTTGGGTTACCTACAATGCGAAGAGATGGCGCTGCCTTGCAGCTTAAGAAAGAAATCGACGCGGCCATCAGGGCCGCGGTAGCATTATTGGTCAGTGCATTCGCCTGGATAACGAAGGGTGCGGGTTCGAGTCCCGTCTGCTGCCTAGTCCGCGTGGATTTTTTTCTAACATACTGATGTCAATTCCGACATGATTCTAAAAACCTAAACTTAAATTTGACAGCATCAGTATCTTTGTCATCGTCTATATAGAATGAAAAGGAGATACTGATGTTAAATATTGTTTCAGTTAAAAGAATCATGCCAGAATCTACACCATTGTTCACGTAGAAGACTTCTGTTTTGTGCAGTGTTGCAGTTTGCGCCTGCGGCGGATATGTGAGTACCCGGCTCGAATTTCGTGGGTACTTTATGATACAATTTGAGCAACGAAGTGGCGTAATTGTATAATGTGCACCATTCGATTCAATGAAATTATAATACAAGGCAAATTGAAAGCTCAAAAAACTCGAGATTCACTTTATTAAAAATGAAATCGTAAGCAATCTATGTCACTCATTAAGTGAGTATGTAAAGCCCGCATGTGTTACCATAATCCTTGCTTATTTGCAAATCCGATTGCTTTTGTCTCGATTCAAAAGACGTATCCTGACAACGGGTCAAGGATAGTGCAGATATAATTACAATTAAAGTTAGTTAAGTAAGACCTGGTAAAGTCTGAAATCTTCATAGCTGGAACTCATGCTGAGGTTCCGACACAATTTAGCACTGAATTATCTATGTACCTACATGGGATATAGCAAACCTCTATATGTATGTAATGCACTTTTTTTAAATCATCATTTACCTCTTTAATTGAGATGGCTAGTATACTTAAACAGTCTTCTCACGTTTCTTAATATTTTTCTACAAGTATTACTTTCAATACTATAAGAACAGAAGGTTATGTCACCGCCAGAATGTGGTTTTGTCTAAAAGCACTTCGACTGAACAATGCGTTGGAGGATGGAGCGGTAAGCACAAAGGCGCTGTAGGGTGTCGGTTAGCAACCCCACTCGTTCGCCAATTCGGAATCGACTCGTGATAGCAATCAATTGTGCGATTTCTATTTTGAAATAAGTACGTAATCGACGTTGGGTTCCAATCCAAGCGCTAACATAGAACACTAAGTATGTTTAGCTGTTAGCTCATAATAACGTTTTCTAGCGCTTTAAGCGCTATTTTGTTTTATACAATGCCTATTACAGCAAAATATTACGAAAACATGTATGAGATTTACATCCAGAATCTTTGCCGCTACCGCTCGTGAGTAATTACGCTTAGAAAATAATTATGTTGAGTACATGAAGAAATTTCATTGTGGGGAAATTACTCTAAATAGTCTCAGAAAACCAGAAGGGTTTGTGTTTTCAAGATTAATAACCAAAATAACACCTAAATAACATGTAGCATATGAAGACAATTGTAATTTAAGAATAATAGTAAGGCTTAGAACATAATAGGTTATGCTTTTACCAGAAATCTTACCTGGGCCGCAGGCGAGTTAATCTACTGGTAAATATTGTGACAAATAGGTGTGCTATAATCTAAATAAATATCGATAATATTTTTGAAGTGATAACTTCTTTAGCGGCGTTGTACACTTTTTTTTGTAAAGGTAAAAAATGTTAAACTCGCGTCAGATTAAACACGTGGGCTGATCGCATCATGACAAACAATAAAATTGGAATGGTTGTGGACTTTCAATATATTGGACGAAACATAGTAATATTTTATTTACCGTATTATAATAATAATTCTCTATCTAGGACGTTCACGTGGCAGCTTTATTGCGAAGAAAATGCAATTTTTTACAATAGATGTCGCTAAGTGAGCTTAAACGTGATTCATGTAAGTTGATTTTTCTGAGAGATAAACTTTTTTAATGCAATATAAATTGTCATATTTGTGTACCATAGCGCATAAATAAATATTGTATTCTACCACATACATGATAGTACTTTTATACTGATAATTAAAGCAATTCGTGCAAAATTATTCCCGAACTATTTCAAAATATCAAAAATGCACAACGTTAATATTCATGTTTTCACTTCTGCCGGCACTCCCGGAGTGCAACGCGTCGTTTTGTTTTTTATTACGCATTACTTTGCGTTAATCTGTAAAACTGTGAGCTGAGAGCATTGACAAACGTGAAAAAAGAAAGCGCAAAACCTTAGTAGATTTAATTTACCCATAATAATTGCGTCAAATTAACATGTGCAACAAAATTTTACAAAATATTATGACGTAGAAAGTGTTTATGTCATATTAAACTTTAGACCATTATTAATAAACGAAGAAAAAGCTTGGATTAGTTACTCCATGTTTTGTCTCTGTTCATTCAATTACAAATGGCATTTGAGTGATATGAACCGAACACAGCGTAACTAGTCTAAGCTTATTCCTCGTTTATTAATATTAGGGTAAATGCACACACTCACATACACATTAATACAGCGAGTCTTCACATTCCCCAGCTTTTGCATTCGTGAAGTATTGTCACTGTGTTCATCAACCACTGTTATAAAAGTTGTTCAGAGCTCACTTTACAAAAAAATTGGTTAATAGTTTTTAAGGTTTCCGTTGTCTTGATAAGGAACCCTTAAAGCTTCGCCATGTCCGCTTTTCTGTCTGTCCGCCCGAGGTTTTGCTTGAAAACTATTTGTACCATATAGCTGTTATTTAGTAGAGGTATCACGCTGACAAAGCGGTAGGATAAAATTTCGAAAATATTTTTTAGGGTAGCTCCCCTACATGCAAAGTGGGATGATTTTTTTATTCATCGTTTACCTTTTCATATTGAGTATCATCGATGATCACTTAGGGGTTGCCAGAGCATTTTTTTTCATTTAGGGATGCGTTTGCATCTTAAATATTAAGCTTTAGAGAGCTAATTGTTTAAGAGTACATCCCACCCTTCTATCTATACGAATAGGTTGATGATGATGACTATGAGAAGAAAACAATAAAAGTGACTTAGATGAAGTAATTTCTTGTATATTACGATGAAACCCTTGCATTGAAAACAAAATCTAAAAAGTAATAATAAACTACAATAAAATATCTTCGGAACCCTACACTGCGTGTGGCACGAAACGCACTTGGCCGTTTTTGGGGCTATGATTACTGAAAGTAATAAAATACTCATACATTTGCTAAGAATTACGAAGCTATAATACTTAGAGCTTACATCCTTGTAAGTAAAGGTGCTAATATCAGCCTGCTACAGATCGATACGAGAGAAGCATATATTAAATAGGTATCTTTGCTCTGCTTTGCATTCTTATTTTCCATTCACGTCTGCCTATTCACACCTGCGGTGGACCATAAAATTTAACGAACACTCTCCCCAAAAATTGCTCACGAAATGCCAAAGGGATTTATAAGATCATAAGTAAATCAGGACAGTGCTTTTGGAATCTATTAATAATTCTGAATTACTGAATTTGGAAGGTAAGCCTTTTATTATAAATATTCGCTACAGAGACTATTGTACAAAAAATAAAAAAGGAAACTTATTTGTCACGAATAGCTCTTTTTTATATCCCACAGTCTGTTAATTTTATTTTGATATGAAGAAGGTCTCATGGAAAGGAAAAGCACTTCTTGGAAATATATCATCACGTTTAATTTATTCATATTTACAAATCATTATTTACAGTTAGTTTTTTGCGTAATAATACAATCCCTGTACAAAATCTTGGATACGTACTTACTAACAGTTACTTAACAACGATTTAATTAGATTCATTAAACATAAGTTAAAACTTAGTCAGAACTGTAATTTTTTTACATCGCCATAATTTGTCACTTGATAACAATCCATATAATAAAGTGCAGTATCGTGTTGAAAATTCTAAAGATAAGGGAGCTGTGGGTGATAAGCTGAACGGGAGCGTGTGATCTAGGCGTTCGCTCATCAGCCATAACGCTAGACGCGACCACAACTCTACGGCCAGTCCCGCCATCATTTCTTGATTCGTCTGGGGCTGATACGCTGCTTACTTCAGGTGGCACGCAACTGGGAGGTTTTACCTAAATTTCCAAATTAACATTATTCTAATATTCCATTACATTTGTCATTTAATAAAATTAAACACATACTTATAATGAAAAGACAAACACAAAAATAATGTTTAGTATAGTAAAGTACTAATAACTTTTAATATCCATACTAATATTATAAATGCGAAAGTGTTGCTGTCTGTTTGACTGTTGTTACCTCTTCACGCTTCAACCGCAGAACCGATTATGATGATATTTGGTATAGAGATAGTTTTAGCCCCGGGTTAGCACAAAGGACAATTTTATCCTATAAATCATCATGTTGTGAAAATGGAGGTACAAATTTGTATGAAAATCCAATTTTTCCACACAGATGAAGTCGCGGGTACGAAGTATCTTATAAACTAATTATTACAGATTTGTACTCACAGGGGGTTGGGTAAAGTTGACTTTCTCTTGACACCGGCGTGAATGATGAGCAAGGCAAGCAGCGTAGGCGATGGCGTGAGGAATATAGCTCTGTTCAACTACTCCCGCAAATAAAATCGTTGCCATCGGTCCTGTGGAACAACAAAATGTATATATAAAAGAGCCAATAATAACTAAGGTATAACGAAATTTGAATTTTTTGATGGATTTTGTCATGCGCGGTTGCAAAAAACTCTCGCATAATTATGTTTATTAAAAACGCAAACTTATGTTAGATTTCGGAAACAATATTTAGATATTTTGTAAAACGAAGAATTATTACAATGAAATTTATATTTCTCTCTTTTGTCCTTTTTCTCAATTTGAAATGGCAGCCGAATTAATCTTTATTGCAATAAGTTGGGACTGTGGCAAGAATCGCCCTACACCAAAAATGTCTTGTTATCATAAATATTAAAAGCTTAAGAAACCTATATAATCATAATCAAAATCATTTATTCAGTTTAGGCTGTTACAAGCACTCATCAATAGAATGTCTAGAAGCCAAGTATAATACGGGGGATATTTAAAAATTGACTTTAATTTGATTATAAGTAAAGAATGGAATTGATTTCAAATATTGCTCATATTTAAATGGAAATGTTAACTCAAAACTAATCTCAGTGGAAATACCACCTAAAACACTGCAGTAAAATGTTTTCACGCAGTTAATGTATACCGCCAGTGCATCGGATAGCGGAATGACGCAAGAGTTACTGCTCGTAATCCTCTACCATAGTTTGTAGTTGCCATTTCATTCGCTACATTCTTTGTGTGGATAAAATACAAATAGGTTAAAAATGTTCTACAGGACATGGTAGCTGCTTTGTCATAACCATACAACTGAGCATAGGCCTCCCCCCAGGATCTCATTACTTAACTCTAATAAAAAGAGTATGTGTACGAATGACGTACTTTAGTGCAAAAGCGTAATCAGATATCGTTTTAAAACTCTATTATCACCAGTATAAATACATATGTTTACCTAAAGCGTATATGGGCACGTCTTCACCGCCATGAGTGGCCCATTGTCTCGGCACTGCTGCCGCGTGTACCGCGTCCACGTTTGCCGGCGCTGAAGCGGTAGTGTTGAGAGGCAGCGCTCTCGGCTCCGAGTGCCCAGGGCCCGTTCCGTAAAGCAGGGTCGTGTAGCGGAGTCCGTCGATATCAGACACTACTGTGTCCGCACCTTTATCAACACATATATTTTAATATTATATACTGTAGAGGCCGGTTGCTCTAATATTTTTAAACCAAATAAGACTACATCCTGTATAACACGTCATTTCATATTTTTCTAAAATCAAGTCTAATAGATACAGAAAGGGGTTTTAGAACATGATCAGCTTTTCAATTTGGTTTAAGGACTTTGGGGCTCACTTAGCACAAGTCAACAAAAAAAAATATTTTTGTGCACGGACCACACGGCCGAAGTGAAACTTCTTTCCTTAAATAACCTAACTGTAGGCGTTCAGTAGGCGGTGCATAAGGCATAGGGAAATGGAGCAGCACACGCATCACTCGTATATATGTATATATATATATATATATATATATATTGTCACGTGTGACGCTCGTGATGCACGTAGCGTTTTACCCTTCGGCGAGTTTCCCTGACTTACCCTCCAACTTCCATGCTCATCGGGAAGAGTTGCGCACGCATACCACACACACACACACACAAACACACATATATATATAGTCGCATGACGCTCGTGACGCATTTTCATTTCATCTGTTCCATAGGATTTATGGTCCCTAGAAATTAAAAAGTTATATTTCCATTTACATCCGTAAAGAAGTTTCACATAAAAATATTGATGAGTACAAATATGAATAAAATGGAACGACTCGCATAACTAAATTTGGTTCTCTGAGAACAGTATACACGTAATTATTATGACTAACACATAAAGAAGACACATATAGCATAATTACATTGAGAAGACATATCGAACGAGAAATGCTTGCTACAAAGAATCTCTAGACCGCTATTCTCACATATGTAGGTCCTTACATAAGAAATCCCTAATGGCATTATTCTCGCTTTACCGGCATTCTTTTGTAAATCGAATAAAAACACCCTAAGCAATTGTTTCTTTGTACCTTTCTCCGATCATTGTAATAGGAGTTGTGTAAATCTACGCATCGATTGACGAAGGGAATAGATTAATCTTTTCCCTACTCAGCTTGATTGAGCTAAATTGGACGGAAATGATTCAATATTAGCTTTGTCGTTTTTACAATTACTTTCTATTGAACTTTTTCTTTTGCCTTGTTAGGGTTCTGTAGTCCCGACAAGGACCCCTTGTAGTTTCTTCATGTCGGTCTGTCCGTCCGCGGTTTCGCTTAGAGACTATTAGAACTAGAGAGCTGTAATTTTGTGGAGATACGTATATCGATCACGCCGACAAAATAGTAAAATAAAATTTTGAAAAATATTTTTTTTGGATAACCTCCCCATGTGTTGATTCGATTTAGGGATCCGTTTGCCAAATATTGAACTTTAAAGTGCTAATTTTTGTACGTGTAGTCCCCCCCCCCCCCCCCTTAAAAGCTAAACTATTGTGTTCAAAAACCTGGAAAAATCATGATAATAGTGCTTTTCATGCACTTTTAAGGGAAACTATAACAGTTAAGATATTAATTTGTTATATTGAAAATACCTTAGAAGAAAATATTTATAGTAACATAGATGAAATTATTGTAGCGTAAAACCTTGCGTTGCAACAAAATCTAAAAAAAAAGCTATTTAAAAACCTCAATTTAATATCATAAGATCCACAACGCTACCGCGAGTACTAACGGAAACGGCTTGTGAGTGGCACTAACGGTACTTCTTTTATAAAAAGTATATACGCACTTGAAAAGACAGGTAATTATACCGCATCATCCCCTTCTCAGGGGATGATCGCTTCAGATGAAGCTTGTAAGGCGCTTCTGGCTATAAGCATGAACTACGGGTGTGTTTTAGTCAGTAAGAGTCTGGCATAACCTTGCAGCCTGCTGTAGGGTATCCATATGGATTTCACACAATCTCTCCCGCCTGGGAGGACAGAAAAAAATCGGCGGTTATCATTCATATTTAAAAATAATAATAATATCGAATTGATTTTAAGTTTCAGACGCAGTTTGACTTTGATTTAGGTATTTTAGTTGAGATACATAGATTTATATTAATTAGTTTTTCTAATTTCCGATATAGAAAAAAAAGATACCTACTCAAATACATAGTGGTAACTACAGGCAACTACGGAACCCTACACTGCGCGTGGTACGACATTCACTTGGCCGGTTTTTTAAGAATGCTTCTTCACTCGAATATTTCAAAGGAAAAATTTTATATCAATGAACACAAAGCTACAAAGCTTAATAGTGCTTTTAATGGCGCAAAATTTTGGTCTTGTGATCAGGCTCGCTTTGTACATGGGCGGAAGCTTTCGTTCACAAAAAGGTACATCGTGTGTAACTCACATAATTCCGATAAGTCACAATGATTCCTCTATATAAAGCTATAATTAACTGAATATTAACAGTTTTACATTATTGCAATTCTAGAAGACATAAAACATTTGAAGTATCTAATCCAGAATACAATTAGCCACTGACCACTATGCAAATGAAATGAACTTCGAATTTAAGTTAAGGTTTGGTACGAGTACGTTGGCATAGTGGCATTGTCCGGAAATTGAATCTAGCCGATTGGGTCGATTTGTTTTTATTCAACTACCTTAAATTTTTTGGAATAAAAATGTGGGACTTATATTAATAAATATAATGAAACCGCAACTTGTATTTTTCAATAAACCATAGCATAACTGTTGCATTTTAATATTCAATGAAAAATTTACCAGAAGAAAAATGAACTGACCTCTCATACAAAGCACAATATTATGATTCTACTAGCTTTACTTATATTTAGGTATTATATATACCTATATTATATATTACCTTAACCTGGGTGTCCTCCAGGTGTGGCCGGTCCGCCGAACGTCAAGACATGTCTATTGTCCATGATCTGCAGTAATAACGATCAGGGTCTCCGCCGATGAGACTCCAACGATGCTAGCAGGGCTATCTTCACCCTAACCGCTCGTACATGGCAGTAAATTACTATAATTACCTAATACTGGGGGTCCTCTCGGTGTAGCCTGACCACCAAGCGTCATGACATGACCATGTTCCACTGTAACAACGATCAAGGTTTCCACTGGTTGACGCTCTCCAACGCTGCCTGCAGAGCTGTCTCCAGCTCTAACCTCTCGTACAAGGCACTACATTATTATAATTACCTAAAACTGGGTATTATCTTGGTGTAGTCTGTCCACCGAACATCATGACATACCATGGTCTGCCGTGACAAAATGATTCTCCGCTGGGGAGACTTCAACGGTGCTATCAGGGCCATTTTCAGCTCGACCCTCTTGTAAATGGAAGTTAATTATTACAATTACCTAAAACTGGGTATCCTCTTGGTGCGGCCTATCTACCGAACGTCCTTGACATGGCCATGGTCCGATGTAACAACGATCAGGGTTTCTGCTGGGTTGACACTCTCCAACGCTGCAGGCAGAGCTGTCTCCAGATCCAACCTCTCGTATAAGACAGTAATTATTGTATTTACCCAAAACTGGGTATCCTCTTGGTGAGGCCTGTCCACCGAACGTCATGACATGGCCGTGGTCTGCTGTGAGAACGATCTGCTGATTGTTCCACGTCACTACGTCAGAGTCTCCGCCAGGGAGACTTCAACACTGCTACCAGGGCTGACTTCAGCTCTAACTTTTCGTACGAGGCAGTATATCATTATGATTACCTAAAACTGGGTGTCCTCTCGGTGTGGCCTGTCCACCGAACGTCATGACATGGCCATGATCCGCTGTAACAACGATCAGGGTTTCCGCTGGGTTGACCCTCTCCAGCGCAGCCAAAAGGGCTGTCTCCAGTTCAAGTGTCTCATCCAGTGCTCGATACGGATTGTTGTAATGGTGTGCGTGGTCTATTCGACCCCCTGAATAATTAAAATTGAATTGAAAATAACATTGGTTGCTGCTTATAGCAGCCGTATTCACATACATCAGTTTTTTTTAAGTTCGTCTCAAATAAACTAGAGTCGGTAATACAATAAAATACGCCCAAAACCGTAAAGTCTCAACCTATACCTTTTGCCTTATAACCTAGACATTGGTGGAAGAATTGTCACGCAATAAGAGAGCAATAAATATAAAAAAATTAAAGACAACAAGTCACTTTGTCGAAAATTTAATTATATTAACGACTCTAAATTAACGACGCTAAATTTTATTAATTGTTGCTGAAGTTGAATCATATTTTCTGATAAATACATTAGAAAAGCAAAGTGTTTTTCTTAATTTAGAACCCATTATCAGAATCTTAGAATTCATTAATTGTCATCTGAACGACTTGGATAACTTCACAAACGACTCATCAAACTTATTTAATTGTCTAGGGATCAATAATTTAATATAATACTTTGAAAGCTTTCCATGTATGTATCATGTTATTCAATTTGTATAACGATTTTCTGTTAGGTTTTTTGATATTGTCCTTTCGCCTTAAGACTAATTTAAACGATGCACTTTTATTATGCATGCAGGAGCAATAATTAAATACAATATATGAGGCCCAATAATCGACCTTCAAGAATTGTCAACAACTGGACATAGTAAAATCGAATGGAATTTAGTCCCTAGAAATTAAAAAGCTATTTTATTAGGGATTAAAACGCTATGTTGATCCCTGAAAATAGTGAATCCTTCGAATAGATGTGAGAAATAATATTTCCTTCCCTCCATTCCGCACTGGGCTCGCGGGGCGAGTGATGGCTCAATCTCCCTATTCAATAAAAAATAGTATCCTATTCACGAATCCGCACCAATGGGTCCGATGCGGTATGAGCCCAATGCGGACCGAGAAGGAACTTCATTCCAATAAAAATTTAAAGGACGCTGATCATGGGGATACGAAAAACATAAAAGATTTAAAGAAAAGTTTACTAGAAAAAAAATCCACGCAGAACAGGCAGCAGACGTGACGGGACAGGCCTGGTCCACGTGGCATATTTTCTAGTAAACTTTTCTTTAGAATTAAACATCTAGCAGTTTAATGATTAAAAAACGTAAAGATAAAAGATATCATGGGCACCGTTCCAGTACTTAAATTAATAAATAAAAATAAATTAATGGATTCAAATTTAAACTTAAATAATTTAATGGATTCTTTTATACGACGATTTCTTAGAAGAGCAGCAACGATTATTACACACTCACTACACATAATTATGTTTGTAAATGATCAATTGAATATAAGAATTGCTTAAGAAATTATTGTATGTGCTGTTTACACTAAGCAAACAGTTTTGAAGAAAATCTTGTATACAATATTAAGAATGTTATGTGCTGTTTAAATTATGCAGTCAAGCTTCAATTTAATTGTATGCAAAAGGCAAGAAACTTGCATCATGTAAATGGCCTTTTATTTTCGGTGCAAAAAGGCAAAGCGTATAAAAGTTTTTATATTGCGTATGGGGAAAAAACTTTATACCCATTTTAAGCACAGTTTGCGAACGGGCGAGTGTGAAATATTTGCATAATTAAAGTTCCTGTAAGAAAAAAAGTGGGGAAGGGATAAAATGTATTTATAACTATGCATGTGTGTAAAAAAAGAAGAAGTACATAAATTTAAATATCACATTTATTGCGTCATGTTGACGTTTTTTACATACTCGTAACTGATGTAATAAAACATAATTAAATTAATTAAATGCCACTTATGATTGTTAAAGTGTAACAAGTAGTAGTGTGTAGTGTATTCCCTATTGTAAGACAAATGGACCTCATTAATTTTAATGAACTTCTGTTTCATATCGACCACTAGGTGATCGTTAGTTGAAATTAATTTTGTAAGTATGACGCGATCCTAAGAAAGGCTTACCTGACAAAAAGTTGCTTTTATCAAGTATTCTATAGGTAAAGACATTGCTTGTTTTCTTTATAAAAATTACTTGATAAAACATACTTTTTGTCAGGAAAGTAGATGGTTGAAAGAAACCTGTCTTGGGATTTTAGACTCGACTTACATCGTTAGTCGACTTTAAGAAAGTAGGTTATCCATTTGACCTGTATGCTTGAAGTCTTATTGGGATTTCATAATATTCGTGAATGCCCATTATAAGCTTTTAAGCATGTAAGCAAATTTTCGTAAGCTTACATACTTACCGTATGCGTGCTCCTTCGGTTGTTATTCCACGCATTTCTCAAAATTTGGAATGCAAATATTGTCTTTAAAATCCCTCCAAAAGAACACCGTTACAATATAATAGAGGGAAGAATAGAGGGAAATATCAACAGAGATGGGTCCGTTACGGTTTAAAATATTAGTTTCCACAAAAAACGCATTTCGACAAAAGTGTCGCTTACGATAATTTGGCGGTAAAGGCTCGATTTTTTGAACAGGCGTAATTTTAGCACCAATAAGATATTTTTGGAGTTGCGGCGATGTTACAACAACAAAGAAGAAAAAAATTAAATTACACAAAAAAGCTAAATCGGCCGGCAGTTATGACGCTGTGTGAAGACCCAGGATTAAAAAAACCTTTGTTGTAGTTATGTTTCAAAAAGAGAAAACTTTAAATTAAATTGATGAGTAGGTATCTTTTGTAAAGCAAAATTTTAGTGGTAACTTGAGTATTATTGCAAACTTAAAGCACCGAGTGAAATAGAAGAGTTATGCTTTAGTACTTTTATCTTGGACACAAGAATTAATTAATATGATGATATCCGCGATATCAGAATATACGAAAAAAGGAATATAAAAAGACAAAATAAAATGAATATCTACCTCTTATGAATAACACATGAGATAAAATATCTAATATCATGCAATATATCAGTTCCCCGAAAAAAGACAAAATATCATCGAGGAATTCTATGACAGACAGCTAAGTTACATATTGCGTTATTATGTAGCAAAAAATGTGTAAGGTTTTTTAATATGAAATCAATAAGATCTTAAAAAATTGTTATCTTAATAGTAATCTATAAGTATAATCGATTGCTGGTGGGACTTCACTGTCTACTTTTCTTTGCTTTTTGGAAACCTGATTTTTATTTATTTATATTTTGGCATAGAATTAGAAATTATCCGTTTGATAGACAAATCATCTTGGCTTTACTCAAAATGAGGTTAAACTAAGATGCTAGCAGTATTTTTATTCTTCCACAATATAAAAATGACAAGCAAATTGAAAATTAATATAAAAGGAGTGAATATATTGTTTTAAACTTTCATGGACGCTAACATATAGTAATTTATGTTATTTACGGAATTGTTACCATTACCTTGTTTTATTATTATATCATGCTTCTTATAGGGTTGTTAAATCAAAGATGATCTTCTTGTATGATGTTTACATGTCCATTTATTACATATGTGTTCTTAAGACTAGCTTAAATAATGTATTATATTTAATATTAATTGCTATTGCAAAACCTTTCTATTATTGCTGTCTGATCAATAATGCAACGTTGCTATAAAGTAAATATGTCGCAGTCACATATGCAAATTCTTATGTTGCGGTGAAACTCAACATACTACAGCTCCATTGAAAAAATGTAATTTTCCCCCTGGGTAAAAAAAAATGTGACATCAAAAGATATTTTAACGTTAGGGCTAACGTAACCTAAGTATCAATTCGTTTGGGTATGGGTCAAAATTATACAATGGATCTATACCAGTTTGTAAGGAATTTGGTGAGACTCAATGTTTACCGAATACTAATTCATATGGTGAATACTGTGTTTGCGTATGAACAGTCGTGTTGAAACAAAAACACCAGTAAGGTAACCAACTACTTCAGTTATTCTTACTTTGCTCACATTGGATGTTTGTACATATCCCTATTGTTATTTATAGGCAAACAGACTTGTTTATCCCGACAAATTAACTGCAAGGTACTGTTTTTATAATCTAATAATGCAAGATACTAAGCAAGGAAATTTTCTCCTAATATTCCATTCGAAGTATAAGACATGTTTTTGAAAACATAAAATCTTTCGACAAAAGTTACGTCTGAATAAGTAATTAAATCCTTCGGAAACAATCTTATCTCTAACACCTTTTATAGTTTATCTATCGGGTATAATATTATTAAATAAACTCTCTTAATGTTTACATAACCATTTGTATCTTATTATATATTTATACTTGCTCCGCTATCTATTAATAAATGAATTTGTTTTTCCATTCCCAACCTAAAAGTAAAGTAATTGCGTGTATTACAACTAAATATAAAATGATTATCTTTGTTACTAACGAAAAAACTGAGTCTCGTTATGCTTATGCATTGTCACTGTTTTGCTGTGGGTCAGTTTACAGTGATTGTTGCATACTTGAATGTTGAGCCCGCATTTTTTTCATCATTAGGTCCGACTTATGTCTCCACCCCACCTGATGTTAGGTAAAGTCCAGATGCGAAGATGATATGACGGTCATTGGCGTTTACGTCACGTGAAAATATGCGTCTACATGATGACCCATGGCTGGTCATTGAACTTGCTGGGGGATGGAGATGGAAATTATTATTTTTATAATTATAATTGTTATTCAGGGTAAATTTTCCTTTATTACGAGTTAAACCGCGATAGGTAGACATATCTCGAGAGAAACTATTTTGTCCCATATTATTATGTCTTATACTGAAAACATTATGTTCCGGGACCGGGTAGTCAAAAATAAAAAATGATGAGCACCATGATCATTATGTCTGTTAGACTGAGGCCTTTATTGTTCTTCGATGTAGCTTGCGCATCTCCACTGGCAGTTTGTGCTATGATGACGTCTTCTTTGGTTTGAGTATTACCCATCTTTATCTAATGGTGTTGTCCGTGCGTTAGTACGAACTCTTTCATTAGATTAGTCTTCTTTTTCTTATATGATGACCCTGCAAACTAATGGCAGGGTCACCATATAATATCATGCTTCTTATAGGGATGTCAAATCAAAGATGATCTTCTTGTATGGTGTTTATTTTTCCATTTCTTACATATGTGTTCTTAAGACTTGCATAAATAATGTTTTACATTTAATATTGAGTGCTATTGCAAAACCTTTCTATTATTACCGTCTGATCATTAATGCAACGTTGCTACAAAGTAAATATGTCGCAGTCACTTATGCAAGTTCTTATGTTGCGGTGAAACTCAATATACTACACCATTAACCTTGTTTTTCGCAAGTTTCTGATATTTCGGCACTGTTGCAAGCACCATGACAACGGCGTTACTCAGTAACATGGTAAAAATCCCGTAAATAACATAAATTACTATAAAAAGAGGGAATGTAATAAACGTTTCTGCAAACTGTACTGATTTTTTCTGTCACTCCAAATCTAATCCTAGGTAATCACACTGAGTTTTTGCAAAGTAAAAGAACTTCTGTTTTCTTGCAACCCAAAGCTGTGGGTAAACAGCAGTTGTCTTATTAAAAGCCAAAAGTTAATGTCAACTGACCTTCGATAAGTAAGAAAAATCCTTTGTCGTTCTTCATTAGTATAGAAAGCGCTGCGCGAGTCATGTCAGCCAATGATGGATCATCGGCCTTGACTGTGCTGCCTGCTGCGGCGCCGTCTTCTGCATCCGCTGCAGCTCCTCGCTCCGCGTTGAAGTCCATATGGGAGTATTCGAATAAACCTGTTAAAATAACGCTTTTCAGATTCACAGCAAATTTTATTTTAACATTTAAAAGGTTAGTTTATAAATATTTTTTTACGAATCGTTCTATAGCCATAATTTCATTAAAGTTTCAACTATCTATTGATCTTGTTAATGGTATTGTGATAAAATTGTTTGGACATCTTTTTATATACCTATTCGGGGTTTTTGGTTATGTTATTTATTTGTTTTCTGCTAAATGTTTAATGTAAAGACAGAGTACGTTTACGATTCTGTTCTATTATAGATGTAAATATTAAGAGTTTATTAAGCAACAGTCTCTTAACATGGAGGAAGGGAAAAATATAAAAATAAAGCAATAATTTGAACAAGCTCGCAAAAGTAAAATACGGTGAAATTGGTTAAGGGAATAGGATATCCAATGACAAGATAAAAATAATGCTTAAGACGTGAAAAATAAGGAGATTTACTTTGAGATACATTTGTATATAAAACTGATATTTGTCAATAAAACACTACGATATAATAAAAATATGAAGCACTGAGCTGAATCTTGTATTTATAATACTGATGAAACATTTTACAGCTAAATTAAAAGGTCAACATCAAAAGTTTGTTTTAAAACGAAAGCTTCATTTCATAATCCCGCTTGAATCCTTTTTGATCTGCACCAGCTTATGGTATTCGCATTGTTGATTACGAGGATTCACAGTTGCTTATATTACATTCAAAATTGTTTCATAATTTCATGTTATTCGAGAACCGAAGACATTTTCATCGTTGTTTTATTAATGTTCAGAATACCATTAACGGTGCGCTTAAAAGGATTTTTAAAGTAATTCAAGCTTTTGAATGTGTCAATAACAAACTATTAAATTTAAAAGCATTCAATCTTATTTATTAAATACTTGTAAAAAACAAAGTAACACTGTTATTTTAATTGATCTAACCAGAAGTAAAATGTGTTTATAGCACAGTGTGACCTAAACCTGCACTTTACGCACGCTTTTCCGTGACCTAAGTTGCCTATTTCTGCACGGTGTGTAAATGAATTGACCAACTTCAATCATGTAGAATTAGTACATTACGATACGCGTAACTTAACTTTACTATGCCAATCAAGGAATAAACGTTCATGGATACATTGAAATTCTATTTTGTTGTAATGATATTTGATTTTTTCCTTTTGAATAGTACATTATTAATAAACGCTAAACGCCAACAACAACTTAGGCCACAAGTATCGTATACTATTTTATAGCAAGTGTGACATAAACCCAGGGATGCGATTAGTGTTTTGAAAGTAAAATTCATGTATTGCAATCACAAAGAATTGCAATACAGACTGCAAGTTAAACTCTGAAAAGAAAGAATTCCGGTTCAGATTACCATTTTGAAAGTATATTTCAAAAGGAAAAAATCAAATATCATTACAACAAAATAGAATTTCAATGTATCCATGAACGTTTATTCCTTGATTGGCATAGTAAAGTTAAGTTACGCGTATCGTAATGTACTAATTCTATATGAGTGAAGTTGGTCAATTCATTTACACACCGTGCAGAAATAGGCAACTTAGGTCACGGAAAAGCGTGCGTAAAGTGCGGGTTTAGGTCACACTGTGCTATAAATATACTTTCAAAATGGTAATCTGAACCGGAATTCTTTCTTTTCAGAGTTTGACTTGCAGTCTGTATTGCAATTCTTTGTGATTGCAATACATGAATTTTACTTTCAAAACACTAATCGCTTCCCTGGGTTTATGTCACACCTGCTATAAAATAGTATACGATACTTGTGGCCTAAGTTGTCTATTACTGTAATGGGCAACGTAGGTCACGCGTATCGTAATGTACTATTTTTGTTTCTAAGGTTTTCATGCGCACCACTCATTAAATAAAACAAGTTTCAACGGTATAAATGGACTGATTTATTTGTTTATTGACGTTTCGCATCCTTTTCAGGCTGCGTCGTCAGAGCTATGATTTTATTTACTTTGTCGAGCTAGCTTCGAAAGACTTTTAATGAGTGTTCGGATACTTCATTGGAAAAAAAAATAGTGATAGGGTGGCACTTGTCACACCCAGGCCTATACAAGCGGTAAGTGGATGATACTTTCACAATCCTTCCAACAGATCAAGTATTTTTATTTTTAAATCACCTATTCCCCATCATCCAATTTACTATGGAGTTAGAGACAGATAGTAAACTAGTTTTCTAGATATTTTATTGATCAGGAATCCTGACCAAAGTTTAAGCCATACTGTGTATTGTAAAGTAACACATACTGATAGGTACCTCAGTGGTGACTCACACCATCACCCGAAACAGTTAACTGCCGTTTCAGAGAGCACTGGGCATCTGTGGCAAACAACACCTGGCAGCTGAGTTTCAGCATGTCGAGCGAGTACTGAAGGATAATAATCTGAATTTACCACGTCGCCGTCACAATCGAACCAAACCTAGCACAGTCGACCGACAACCTGCTGTACTACCTTACATGAAAGGAGTCACTGACATGATTGGGAGGATTCTAAAGCGTGCGTCGATCAATAATTATTACTTCAAGCCGCCGAAGAAGTGCAATATACGAATACCATTTCAGGTACCTGGTGTCTACAAACTTGAATGCGACTGTGTGCTCTCCTACATCGGCCAAACAAACCCTCTTTGTATAGGTACTCGGGTAAACGAACATATCGCAGATATGAAACATAGGCACAAAAATAAATCTGCAGTGTGTGAACATGCATTAGGGGGACCAAACCATTACATTAGATTTGATCAACCACAGATCCTTGCAACTGAACAAGGATTCATTCATAGGATGATACGAGAAGCTATTGATATTAAGAAACATCCAAATTTCAATAGGGAAGATGGTTGGTATATACCACCAGCTTGGGAACCCAGTAGACAACAGATGAAATCCCAACCCCGAACACACACTACAAGACTAACAGATACTATTAGTTCTTTTTTTTGTAGCTTTTACATAAGAAGGAGACAGAAAGCCTCTCTGAGTTTTATTCGCCATTTCTCTCGGACAGGTCTCTCTATTCACCGTTGAAACTTTTTTTATTTAATGTTATTATATTTTTTAGTATCAGTAGCATAATCATGATTAATTACCTAACAAATAATCAACTGTTCTTGGATCTAACTTGGCCAGTTGCTCTCTGGAGTGAATATATTGAGCTCTCAATCGCCGCCTCTTCTTTTCCCTTGCCCAATCTTCGGCTAAATTTCTTCCATCCAGTCTCCTTCCTTCACGATTGGGATGCTCCGGATCTGGAGTAACCGTCGGTAGAAAGTGACGTCTGCCACCACCCATTATGACCTGAGTAAATAATCCAAAAATCAGCATATTTCAGTGAAGACGGTAATCATCCTCAAAAGATTACAAAATAGTCAACCTAACCAAACCTTTAGCTTACCAGTTGTATATTGTTTGTGATTTTTTCCAATTTTTTGGGATCATTCAAATATTTTCCATTTTTTACTAGGGACCTGCCCTGGCTTCGAAACGGTGCAATCTAAAAGAATCTACTCAACTATCTTTGTAAGCTGGTTTTCATTAATAATAATAATGTGCTTTTATGATATGCCTAATTGATACTTTTAAATATGTATTTCTATAGAAACAAGAAGCCAGCTATAATAAATAATGAAACCGAAATTCATCGCTTTGATGTTAACATCAATATCCTTCTACTGTACCTATAATGCTTGCTCTCTACATTTGCATTGGAAACACATTTCAAAGTAATATAACATTTAGGATTCCCGAACTGTGCAGTGCGCTATCTTATTAATGCGAATAGAATATTCATGTTCTATGCAGTGTGAAATACCGAATAATCTTTCGAAGTAGTTACCTATTTTAAGCATTATTTTTTATCCTTTGTTACATTTGAATGACATTACTATTGGTGGTGCTCGTATTTCATAAAATGTTAAATCCTATGATTTTGGGGTAAAAGAAAAGTCACCAGGCCCCGATTTTGGATACATAGATTCATTGGTCACATGCGAAACGCAATAAGTCAAACAGTCTCGTATGTGACCAATGAACGCATTGACGTTTTGTTTGCGCTAAATTTTAATACAATTTTGAAAGATGGTTTAATTCTTCCACCTGGGCAAGTTTCCCTGTTTTCCTCTGCTATTATGAATTCTGAACAATTAGGTACAATTCATTTTGAATTTGTTGAAATTGTTAATAAATTCTTTCACATTGTAAGAAATTTATTATTCCTTCGATATAAAGTTCGTACAATGATTGATGCGATTGGAACCTCCCCCTAACGTTCTCGTTATCATCGTTTGCGTTCCGTTTATATAAAACACGATGAGAGGAGTTTTAAAATAACAACAAATGATCAAAAATAAATCTTAAAAGACTTGAATAAGCAACAGTAATTATCGATAATTTTTTCTAAGTTTTTTCTTAGTGTTGTGGTGACGATTTTAAATTCACGCTTCACCTTTTTATTATGTAAAAATCCCGTATGCCCGCTATTATATAATAGCGGGCATACGAGCTGACGGCTTACCTGATGGTAAGTGATCACTGTCGCCCATAGACACCTGCAACACCAGGAGTATCACAAATGCGATGCCGGCCTTTAAGGAAGGACTACGCTCTGTTTTAGTAGGTTTTTGCGGGTCATATTGGTCCGGAAACACTGCTGGTGTAATTCACAGTTTTATCGTACGAGGTAAAACAAATTCGACAAAATCGCAAGATTATGGATAGCCACGCATCAAGATGGTGGATATGAAAGAAGCTGGTATTAATCCGTACAATTCCTCAGAACACGTGATAAATGCCATAGAAGATGCAGAGCGAAGCAACATCTCTACTCTATGCTATATAGGAACTGGATATCGCTCGATATGTCAACGCCAAGAATACCGATACTAGCTGAAGCAGTAAGAGGAGTGTTCTCAAAAAGGGAGGATACGAAAAATGGTGATTTTTCTTGGTAAACGCTTATACCTGTGTCTTCGTGGGGTTCAATAGGACTAGATTAAGCCGTCCCAAATTTGATACTTTGCTGGGCAAAGTCTCAACCTCCTACAAAATTTTGTTTTGGCTCTTTTTATTACGTTTTTCGCGAAGATTATCACAGCGAGGAGGCATCATTTTTTTCTATTCACAAGAAAGAAAAAATAGACAGTCAGTACTTACACAAATAAAGATGCATTGTTGGGTTGACAAGGTTTTTTATATCAAAAGGGAGGAAAACAAGCCTACCGTCCGTCTCATGGTAAGCGGCCCCCATAGCCTATAGACGCTTGTTATACAAAAAATATATCTCGCGCCGTTGCCTACACTGACCCATTTCCCTATCCCATGAAGCCCTGGAACCTTACTCACCGGCAGAGAAACAATGTCACCAAAAGGTAGTATTATTTTACTGTGGTCTCTTGTAAGGTCGAGGTTACTTCTAGGTCCCTTTTCTTCTACATTGAGTGGTAAAACCGGGTTGCCCTACCTCTTCTAAAGGATAAGGAGGCTAGGATTTTCCGTTTTAAATTAAGTCGAACTTACATTAATACTCCTTCCCGGTTCATTCTCGACTAGTTGATAGGCTATATCCTTGCAATCTTTCCTGACGGTCGGCGGTACGCGGCTGTCATCCTCCCAGTACCTTGAGGGAGCGTGTGCGTATAAAGCTGCTGGCGTGGCGTGAGTAATCCTGGCTGTAGTCACGATGCCACTGGACTTGCCTATAGTGACAAAGAAATAAATGAATTATCAAGACGTCGCGTTGGCGTTTCGTTAGTGTTGTAAAACTGGCTAGCGATAATCTAGTCATAGGTTAATCTAAATTCTATTGTCTGCTACTTTGATACACACTTACTGTTCACCTTAGTTACCTAATATATCACTGTTCGATCCTTATAAGTTTTTCTATTTTGCAACAGTTAGTAATTCTGGCTGTAGTTAAGATGCCACTGGACTTGCCTATATAGACAAACAAATAGATGGATTTTTAAGAAGTCACGCTGGAGTCGGGTGATTTATTTGGGTTATGAGCACAGTGCTTACAATTCAAGATGCCACTGCTGAAATAATGTTTTAGACGTCATTTTGACAAAAACAGATTACCTAACATAAAAGATGCAACTGCTGCAATAATACCTAAAGCGCTAATTGTCTAAGAAGCAGATTGCCTACAATGTCTCGTGACTATAATGTTTTCTGTCAACCATTAACTGGAACTCTTTAAATTTAAAATAAATGGATGCGTGTAACTTATGTACGCGCGTGAGAAGTTATACTTCTTTAGCATCATTAAAAATATTTTTTAATTGCATGCAAATAATTAATAATTACAATAAAATAATAAAAGGACTGGAAAAGGATAGTTAACACAGTCAATTAAGTTCAGTTTTAATTTGAAAAATTAAATAAATATTCAAAATATTCAATTAAAATCACTACTGAATTTAAGTTATTACTCCATATGTAATTAGCACTTGTAAGTAACTAAAACACGTTGTGTCTATATAGAAACTAGAAACATGTGGATAAATATTATAAATATGAAAACAGTGATCAGAGGCGACGAGCGTGCCAACATTGTTTTTGACAACGCGATCATCTTATGGAGCTCCGTGGATCGTTCAAAGTACCTTTCGAACAGATACTTTCATAACGCGCCCGCGGCCAACTTCATGGTGTTACTATTGTGTTACAGTGATGCGCGCGCATCTTAAAATTTCACTCTCTTCATTTTTCATAACGCGCCCGCGGCTAACTTCATTATGTTACTTTTGTGTTACAGTGATGCGCGCGCATCTTAAAATTTCACTCTCATATTTTTTTCATAACGCGGCTAAAGAAGTATAACTTCAAAATAATAATACAAACTGTTTTCTTTAAATACCCAATTAATATATGATTAAAAACAAATATTCTTTCCCTAAAAAAATATCCCTAACCAATCCTTACATAAAATATAAAACAAAATGACTATAACATAAAAATTTGAACCAATGCGATGCTTTAATTTCCCTTATCATAATTCATTCAAAACGTTTAGAAAATTCGCGGTTAGCTAATCAGCTTCTTAGTTCTTTTATTTTATTATTTTCACAGTAGTGGCATCACGCATTTTAGGTACTATGCTCATAATAGAGCGATTCTGACCGTGGTCAAGATACCACTGGACTTGCCCATACAGACAAAAAAATAGATGAACTTAGGCTGAATGAATCGTTCAGTCGCAGAATGTAGCTATAGAGATACGTTTTGAGCGCAGGGTACATTTTTCAAAAATATAATCTGTGGCTGTGTCATAGTACCTGGCGAGAACACTATTGGACAATTAAAAAGAGAAATTCTATGCTACCAATGCATTTGGATATAGGCTATGAATTGGGCTTTCTCCTTCTCCAGTAGCTGCGTTCCCACAATTCAAATTATATTTGGTGTCCTTTTTGCACTTTTTCGGTTGACTTGACTCGACTCTAAGTACTTATAGACTCAATTAACTTTTACTCTGTTTGCTATAATATTAATTGAATGAATTACTTTGTGGTCTCTGACTATGACCGTCAGTAGAATATGTGCATCATTGCCAGGGGTTTGCTGAAAAAGCTGAAATACTGTTGTCATGTTTTTATACTGCAGTAAATTTTTTTTACTCGTAGATTAAAAAAGCAAACTCCATCAGCATCTTTTTTTTTAAAATCGTTAGGAATTCCAGTCACTAAATATTTTACAGCGTCTCCTTCTTTATTTTATAGAAATATTGTCTTAATCGATAGCTGTGACGAAAAAATATTAGCGTTTGGGGTAAAGGCATCTATCACGAGTACCACTTCAACATTATTTGATAATGACGCAGGTGCGTTCACATTTACGCGATATAAAATTTGAATATCACGCAGAAGACAGGTTATCCGTTTTGCTGGTTGTGGTAACAGACTAAAAGTAATAAGTAAAGTAATTTTGTAACAAATCGGTAGCCATTTATTTATTCAAATTAAAATGAAGGGTATTATTAGTTTCTTCTTGTTTGTCTATTGCAAAATGAATTATTATTATCCGAATAAACTAAACTTAAAAAAATGCAGTTTCAGATTCAAATTAAATAACAATCAACGTTAAACGAAAATATGTATTTCAAAACAGTTTTCATTTCAACTGTACGCTTAAAATGCTCATTTGTCGCCACAAAAACAAAAATAAACCTATTCGAAATAATTTACCTGGACATCACGAGCATCTGTTCAAAAATTCACCAGTAACATAGCTGCGCCGAGTTCGCTCGATCCGAAATGCTAAAATGATCCGCTTGAATATTTTTTATTCATAACGAAATATGAAGAGATACTTTCACTGTTTTTATTTTAAATAGTAGTTTGCTTTTGTTTTGCTTGGCTGTTTCCATGTATCTCTAAGTCTTAAATGTATAAATAACATGCTCCCCATCTAAAGATTTTATTTACTTTGCTTGATTCTGGTGCCAGAGGAGATTCAAACCCGCACCTGTCGTTGTTCAAGGACGAGCAGTTTAAAACCCTGTTTAAAACCTGCCCTTCTAGCCTGAGCAGCGCGATATGATATATATATATATCATATTTTTGTCACGCTCAATTATTATCAAATTACTATGGAGTTTAAAAGACGTTATATATACCATATCGCAAAATCCATGGTAGGGATGACACAAGGAAAAAATCTAGAAGTTACTCAAAGTACTATCAGCCAATTTGATTATCAACCCACCATAATTCAGTTTATTTTCATACATTCATTGCAAAACAACAAGGTAGACTTGCGCTTAAATGTGCGTATCCATGGGAAAAAACTCGTTATTTACCGAACATCAAAGATTCCTTTAATAATTATTCTATTTTCAAAGTTTTTCTTAATTTCAAGAATTCGTAAGAGTTTCTGTTGGGGTTACTATTAACAAAGTTATTCCGAAATTGAAACTAATATTTCATTTTCATCTTTAAGGTGATCTACTGCGTCGAAAACAAAGGTCAAATATCAAACATCTTTGATCCATATTAATGCAGTTTCCATGTTTTTAGAAGGTTCTAAGTGCAATTACCATTCTATAAAGAAGAAAACTTGTCTGTTTTGTCATTTTTAAGCAAATTATTGGCAAGTAGGTCAGAAATTAGTTCGATAGTTCATGCTTCTCACCAGCATCGTGTACCCAGTCGATAAGGGATGTCACTTTGGAGTTAATAGTGGTAGCGCAGATGTTGAATCGGGCCCCAGCATCCAGCCCCAATGTTTCATACCGCGCCTTCACCCCACAGAGTAATGCGGTGGCGCAAGCAGACGATTCACCTGTCTGCGCGTCTATGTTGTAAGTCTGTGGGAAAATGTTTTCAAATTAGTGAAAAGTCAGCTAGCCATGCACCCTAACAATTAGGCAGTCCAGCTAACAAGTCAGTTATTCCAAACGCCTCTCTAGAGGCATGATATGTATCTTGAAACTGTACCAAGACTGTAGTTAGTTTTAAAAGGATAAGTAGTTCACTCGGTGGAGTACACACTTGACTTGAGAGCAGACTGGGATAACCCATCCGTTTATAGTTGAGAGACTGATTGTTGATAAACACAGAAAAAATATTGTGGAAAGATGATACTGCGTGCTAATGGAAAACGCATTTCATTTGTCTACTACTCATTCCCGTTAGCGAGGAATATAGGTTATTGAATTGTGATTTTTGTAGTAGATTTTCTTTTTCAATTATAATTACATGCATAGAGGAATCTTTGTCCCATGAATGAATGTTTTCTCACAGTCAACACACACATTTATGGTGAGAAATTATGAATAACAAAAATTCGCATAGTTGTTCCTGTGTGCTTTTACGAGAATACCACCAAGAAAATGAACTTTTATTCTTAATTGGTTTCATTCAATGACTCTAGGTCCTTGATTATAATATAAAAGAAATATAATACACGGTTGATTGTTGTGGTAATCCCAAAAATAAATAAAATACAATACTAATTTTTACTCATAAATTCCAGTACATAGTAAGTTAGCTAAGAGAATTTGAATAAAAAGACAAATGCTGTAAATTATTATGCACCCACATGTATGTCACAGCTAGTTTTCTATATTCGGAAGGACGTCATCTAAACTAAATTAATAGATAAAAAAAACTTCTCAATGATTGCAAATAATTATAATCAATAAATATTAATACTTAACACTTATGTTATGCTTTTGCATATAAATAGAAAAACGACCATCGTTTATGAAAGCGGTTGTGGATTGGAATTAAGCAAAACAACAATGTTCACAAAAGTTTAAAATTGTTTACCTTGATTATTTTGCTTTCTATCATATTCAAAGAACATGTTTACTTATGTAAACGTGAAAAATGATTCATTTTTGAGATGTTAAGATACCTATTAATCAGAATTACCAGCCTATTACTGTTCCCATTGTTAGAAAAGGGAAAACGGGACATAACCCACCTGACGGGACTTTGAATTTGTTAGTGCTAATGATTGTAGATGCATCCATTCTGAAATACCGAGGAGCTCGATATCAGCGAAAATTTATAAACTTCCATTAACGCAGATACAAAGCACTAACCATTGTACCACCGATACTTTTGCATTATTAATACTATTATGCTTCTCCCACGCCTGCGCTACGAAACTTTGATACTTAATGGCGCTAAACTAAGCATTCTAAATTTTTATTTATTTTTTCGTAATTGCGACCCTTCAGCTTCAAACTGTACCCCTAGCACGAACCATTAACAAATTCAAATAGTTTGCGAGTGCGAAATGACAATGTCAAATTTTGTATGGATACTTGAACAGAACTAAAAATCAGTACACATTTGACAATGACATTTTGGACTCCCAAACGTTACGTTAACGAACATACAAAGGACATGGTAAAGTTTTGTATGAGCGACTGCCCAGGCAATGTATAAATACTGTACTTAGTAATATTTAATGGTAAATGGCTGAATATTTATAATTTCTATAGAAAAAGGCTCAGGGACTTTTGATAAAGTCACAATCTTGAAAATTATGAGAACTCCTACTATTCCATTTCCTTACTACAGTTGATAAAAAATGTTGCAAATATTTACAGAGTCATCAATTTCGCATTTTCTTAGAATCTTTCGTCCCATTTCTCTAATTAACTCTCCACAAAAAGTGTTTTTAAAGTAAAAATAAACACAAATAGTTTGTTATCGTCGGCCTGACAGGAAATCTGTGAAGTTTTATATTGTTCATTTGCAAAAATTAAAGGATTAATTATCATACAGCCTTGTCTCAAGCCTGATCAGAATAATAAAATCTATTACTTCAGGCTTTTAGTGATTTGTTTTGATAAAAATTAGGGCCAAATATGTCATACTTTGAAGGAGTTTAGAAATAATATTGTTTATTTCGATATACTTACACAAATATATTTTGTATACATGTATTGTTCATTTATTTTGTAAAACGGAACATTTTTCTTTTTAAACAGACATGAAGTCAATTTTTATACTTTCAAATATTTGATTATTTCACGAAAGTTGTATGAGAATAATAAACACGTAATAATTAATAAAAAAATATTTTAAAGTTATGGGCTAGTGCGAAATATTTATACACGTTAAGGGCAGTTTCTTAGCCATGTCCTTTATCGTTTCGCACAACCTCTTTTATGCGTACAAAAAATATTTTACACAAATTATTAGCCAAGCTATTGTCTAGCGTCTATAGACACACAGTCCCATAATTCATTATGATAAGACTAAATAAATATTTCGAACGTTAATTTTAGCACATTTAGTACGAAGTTTCGGCGCGCAGGTGTGGGAGAAACATTAAAAAACTAGCAGTTGCACACAGACAAAATGTAACCAACACTCAAACAGTAATATCTATTCTTTATCTGAATCTTGCAAATAGGGTTCCCGAGGGACTCTAATGCGTGAATGAAACATGAATAAATCAGAAAAAAATCTAGCATCGAAATGTAATGTACACGATCCTATCCGGCCAACTTGAGTAACGGCTCCTTTCGCCAAATAATTTTCTATTGTAGCTTTTGCCACTACAGCCTACTTCCTCATTCTTGTGTAGTTTAGCTTTTTTATCTTGTATTCGCCATACGATATGGATTTGTACAAATCCTCCATTCTTTTATCAGCCTCGACATCAAATACCTTGCTTGTTGAGATTTGAATTCAACGTCCTACTTTAGATTTATTTCATATTCGTTTCGTTACTGATATCGTTTTATGTCTTTTTCTTCGGTTGTATCTATTTATATCTTTACAATAAATTGTATGTATTATCATATGATGAAATCTTATGAAATCCCTCTAATGGCAGTAGTCGGGTTGGAAACAAACATCCAAGTAACGATGCCTTTTAGCATGTAAACTAATACTGATAGCAGCTAAATAATATATCCAGTTTATTATACGTGATATTTTTTCTATCATTAGAATTTATAATTTATTAGTTACACTATTAAAATAACGAGCCGTACTAACGCTGCGCCTTTCCGCCCATTTCTCTATCCCAAGGATCTTTTTATAATTCTTGTAAGGTATTAACAGTTAAACAATTGTATACAGGGTAGGGTATCTGGAACATTGACGTCCAAAAAAATATTAGGTCCTTCGTATCGTAGGGTATTCGAATCACCCCTATGTATGTTCCGCATCTTTTTATAGTTTTCGAGTTATGGTGTTTTTTCTGAATTTTTGAGGAATTTTCGACTTACAAACTTAAAAAATATCTAAAAAAAAATTAGAAGACTTTTTCGTATTTTTTTGCAACTGAATCCTCATGAGTTGTAATTTTATGCATAAAATAATTATCTTTGTAACTTTCATGAAAGTTATGAAAATGTTGATCCAAAATGAAAAATTTACATTCAGTGATAATTCACTGTTAGTTGTTTAGTTAGTTTCCAGTATTTTCGTCAATAATTAACCTTCAGAATGATAAAATGGCCAAAAAGCTGTTTAAATCAAATTAGCCTTTCATAAGAATTTTCCACCTCGCTGTCTTTGAAGCCCGGTTTTAGCGAAAGTAGTAATTTTTTAGTTAAGTACTATTTTTTTTAATGGTTACGAAAGCTGAGTTTATGGCGAATTCTTAAGGGACTTAAGAGCATGAAGTCACCTGTTTAGATTTTTAATTTAAAGTTGAAAATTTGCGTCATAATTCACCGAGCGTTAATATTTCACTTTGGATCAATATATTCATAACTTTCACCAAGTTATAACGCTAATTATTTTATGCATAAAAGTGCAACTCATGAGCCAGTATATTTTTAGGCAAAGTCTTCTTATACAAAGGCCCGGGACACAAGAAGACTTCGCCAGAACTACAGCGTGTAGTTTGCGAGTGAATCTCGACGAATGGATCACGATACTAGACGCTAGCGGTTTTTATAACGCTATGCCTGACATTCAATTTGAAATCCAAAAGAAGAAAAATAAATAAATGGAATGAGCCAAAAAAAAAAAAAGAAATATTTTTAATTTTAATTTGAATTTTGAAGAAGACTTTTATGGTCTCCCTCGGCAGACATATATTAAAAACAGATGAAAAATTAACAGTATATGAAACTATTTACATGATGGGGAAAAAATTATGATCCAGAAGTGACCTGAAGCGTCAAAAATGAAAAACATTCATTTGAATAATAGGAAATTATAAGCAATTATTTTATATGGAAATGATAAAATAAGTATGAGAGATATAATAAATAGATATAGAAAAAGAAGAGCCGAAAAGCGTCGAGTAAATTGATGTCGAGAAAGTACCATAAACATAGAATTTTGAAAAGTTAAGACCCAAAAATAGGATTTCAATAGAAAACTTAAAACTAGCTTATTTTTAAGAATTGGAGCGACAGACAGACACACCACAAAAGGAGCCGAGGAGGAGTCACAGATACCCTGTTCTTGCTACCCCCGGTGGTTTAGGGAGGCGTAATGCCTATTCCAGAAATGAAAAAAAAAGGTTTAGTTAAAACTTTAAAGCATCCTCGGCTCCTGTACTATTTTTTCATATGCGCTCCATAATAAGAAAATTTGTTTTGTATTGCTCTTGCAAAATTTAAGTTTTTCATCAGTGGCCGCTATAATTAAAAACGACTCCAACTTTACCCAAACCCCTTTCAAACAGACCGTCGAGCCATCAGCTGTCACCATCCATGGATGCGCGTGGCCAGCTGTAACATAGTTTATGTTACAGCAATCCGGGCAAATGCACTGACCAAATTCTTCTTTCAAATTTTTAATACTTGAAAAAGTATTCATTTGACATTGTAGGTTACCTACAATGCGAACAGATGGCGCTGCCTTGCAGCTTAAGGATAGG